GCAGATTTTAAGGAGCAAAGAATCTGCATCAAATTTTGTTTTAAGCTTTAAAAAAACTGCTGTAGGAACCCACCGCGTGCTTGTGGAAGCATTTGGTGAGAATGCTCTGAGTCAAAGTAAAACTTTTTTGTGGTACAAACGCTTTAAGGATGGACGAACGTCTGTCGACGACGATGAGCAATGTGAAGGGATGCATGCACCTCGTACAAAAGGGAAAAAAAAAAACTTTAGTCGTAACAGTTAACCCGACGCAGGAGGTCGTGGTTTTGTGGTCGTCATTTTCAGTACCTCGGACTATACAGCGTCGAATGAGAGGATGATGATGAATAATGAATTGGAAAGGATGTGCAATGAAGCCTTCAAGCGTTGCCAAGGCTGCTATTATAATGGCCAGTCATACATTTTGCCTTCTTCTGTGATGAATCAACTCTCGAGTACTTTCTGGTAGTTGCAATAGTAGACGCAAGTTGGAGTCGTTACAAAGAGTCGATACAATGGCGCGTGCGAGAGGAAAAAGCAGAACTAGTTGGTAGGATTTGAGGCTCTCACACCGATCTGGTGTAGTCTGGTAGAAATTTTCCGACGTTTCAGAGGTCCTTGCTGCCAGCTTCATCAGGCCGCTTGATGAAGGAGGCAATAAGTCTTGTTGCAGTAAATATTTGCTGATTTTTTTATAAAACCATGACCGAAAATACGAAGTCTGTAGGAAAATGACAGAATGACGTACATTTCCAGCCGTTCCAGTATGTGCTGAAAATTTAAGACCACGTGACCCCACTTATGTACTAAAATCTGTGGAGAGGGCCTACATTCAGCTGCGTATGGAGTCAGTAAGCACCTCCGAAACGTCAGTGGGGATCTGAAGGATCGTTGTCATATTCACAAAAACCCTGGACCAACTGCACTCGGTTCACACTCTTGAACACCTGAATCTTTAAGATTTACCACTGTCACCATCTACACCAAAATCTCGCATATGCGTCTTCCCTTTAGGATTTCTAATTTTTGGGTGTTTTTTCACGTTTCGTCATAAGCAGACACACCACCTGGGCACATCCATGTCTGTCTTTACGTCTGCCCTGATTATGGAGGCAGCAAGCACCCCTGAAACGTCGGCCAGTTTCTACTACACAACACAGCGCAACTTCCCAGAAGACAGTCTCAGTTAATTATCTGTTTGTTTATTCGTTTATTTGGGCGATACGACGTGAAAATTAATTTGTATATTTCTAGGAACAGACAAGTCCTTTTTGTCCTTTGTTGGAGTAGGACGTACCAAGAGATTTGCAGTAACAATATCCAGGAGCGCTGCATCTGCTGTAAGAACCGGTATTGTTTAAAGCTGGTGGCCTTGCAGATAATACGTCGTATTTGCATAATAGATTTACGCGCTGCAAGAACGTCTTATGTTGTTTTAAACTATTTTTAAGGTATATAATATTAAATCCAGTAGAAATCGACAAGTAAAACCCAATCTTGTTATCTAGATACGAGACATAAAATGTCTGATGACCAGACATTCTTTACGCGAAGTTAGATCATGTGTGATGCCCACTTTAACCAGTTTCCACTTCATTATCGACGACATTGTAGAACGAGACTAATAACAGTCTCTAAAAATGCGTGCTTTAATGATCCTGGGCTGAAGGACATTTAGTGAGAGTTATTTTTTATTAACACGAAGAGGAAATTTTATACTGAATTAGAAAATAATTATGCAATACGTGTACTGACAGAGAAGGGTTACGACGCATGGTAGAGTCTTCATGAGGTTAGTGTAATATCACTTATATTTAGTTGGATTATTTAAAAATTTAACGTCTATATTAGTGCAAGATTTAATCCGCGTAATTAGTGTGTCACAGTAGAGCTTCGATAACCGTGTTACAGTAAATGTTCACTAGAAGCAAGTGATTAAATTAACCAACGTCGACATTGCTCGGCTGTAATTACAGATATTGCAGGCTTAGGTGTCTTTGTGATGCTAATTCTGACGTAATTTTGTTGGCCAAGAGCTTACGACACGCCGAAGACGAAATATAACGCGATGCTTTTAACGAAGAGGGCCTTGCCGGTTTGGGTCATGTTGACGGCGTGGGTGAGCGCACAGAACGGGTCGTCGAAGTACGAATACGTGGATGTGGACGCCCTCTTGTCTAATCATAGGACTCTCAACAATTATGTTAACTGCGTCCTGGACAAGGGTCCGTGCACTCCGGAAGGCCGAGACTTGAAGGGTGAGTTGGGAACAGCACAGTTCACGCATCCCGTGTGTGTGTGTGTGCCCTTCGTCGAAATAATTTTTAAATTTAAGCCCGTGCGTCAAACAAAGCACCACGAGAAACGCAAATGCAAAATTGAGATTTATTGATAGGATTTGATTTTTTCGCAGCGGTCAGTCTGAAGATTTCTGTCTACTGGGTTTTTGCGCCGTGTAGTCTGGTCGATGTTAACCGACGTTTCAGAGGTCATACTGCCTGTCTGTAGAATGCGCAGTATATTTATACGACTCAGATTAAACGTGGGAATGAAGCCAAGGTGATTTTGCATTTATTCTGTTTTATTCGTCCAAATAAAAGACGTCTTTCTTCACCAACGATTTTTCAAATCGCATCAACACATGACGCACTTTTCTGTGCTGAAAATCGTTTGTCAAATTCGTGTTTTGCGTTTGTGTAGAGTACATGCCGAGAGCTCTGACGACCGCATGTGCCGACTGCACCAGATCGCAGAAGCATTTCATCAGGAAGGCGGCGTCATACGTCATGAAGAATAGACCAAGGGACTGGGATGAAATCGTAAAAAAGTATAACCCTCAGGGAAAATACCGCGAGTCCTTCTACAGGTTCCTGGCTGAAGGTTGAATTGCTGACAAAGTGTGGCGCTTAAATAATTTATGTAAGTTACTTAAAGTAAGAAAATTAGGGAGGAGACGACGGATTGGTTCAGGGGATTTCTTGTTACGTGACGCACATAGGTGGGAGCTCCTTTAGAAGAACAAAGAACGTAGTCATTCTTGACAGGATGATAGCCGCTCAGCTGATCGAGAAATTTTCCGTATTTTATGGGAGCGAAGGTTCATTACAGTGTTTACACCAGCCCACCGCTCTCATGTCCTTAGCCAGCTGAATACAGTCCAGATCCTTCTTATGACTCAATTTAATATTATCTTTCCATACATACCTGCGTCTCACAAATGGTCTGTTCAGGTTATATTTTAAAATTTGCATACATTTCTCGTCTACCTTGAGTTACTCTTTTATGTAATCGTCCTGATAATAACTGGTGAACAAAACAGAGTTGTTGTAGATGGATTAGAAGCAACTGTAGCATAAATTATGAAGCACCTTGGCATAGATTTTTCTCTATGCATCCACTACTTTTTGCCTCTTAGAACAAGACACTCCTAAACATTCTGATCTCGAGTCTCCCACTAATGTTAAACGATAGGTAAAATTAAAATTTTGTAGACTTCAAGTTCTGCGTCGTATAGACTGAAGATGGAAAGGCTAAACTTTCTGAACTCTTCCTTTATGTATGCAATTTTGATTTGTTACTGTACTTGTAAAATAGGCTATTTGAACTTCGTTACATTTTATACTGAGTTATGAACCATGACATTTTTGCTGTAAAGTTAATAAGGACTTTAGAATTTGTTTGTTTCTCCATATGCTTAGAACATTTGAAATTATTCCGAAACCTAAAAATAATGCGTGCTTCCATACACGCACATGCTCTCGTTAGGTGGCTTATAGTTACTTCTTAAATTGTCTGTTGTTGAATCGTACGTAGTTATGAACTACGGCAGAAGGTCGTGAGATACTGGATCCAAATTCTGTTACTGGTTTGTGCACACAGCCAGTAATTTAGTCGATATTTGAGTCCGTAAAGATGATTATTTTCACTTATTAATCGTGTTATTTAATTCTTAGACGCTGTAATAACGTTGTTGGTAATTTAAAAAGTAATATTTTATTTCGTATCCATTTTATTTAACTGATGTATTTAAATGTTTGCTTCGGCTCTACGGCATTTATATAATTTATTAAATAATTATCTTAAATGGCGAGTCCATAAATTTTAAGTGCTACTGTTGTTATAGAATATTTGTCATGTATTATTTGAACTCTTTTATTTTTTCAGAAACTTTCTGCACACAATGTGAAACAGCCATAATGGGCTAGGTGTCTGAATTGGTCGTCTAATCAGTAGACGGCAAGTGTTATTTAAAATAATGAAGTAGACACTTTTTTACTTTTATTTTTTACGTGTACTTTGAATACAGAAGGAGTAAAATAAATTGAAGATGTCCATCTTCTGGGTTTTAGTAAAATAAATTATTTGTAGTTACATATAACTTGTTTTGATGTAAAGACTGGAACTGAAGAAAATCTTATTGTGATTGGCATTTTTTATGTGGAATCTGTCTAGAGACATCATTACAAGTAATATTAAATAATGGTAATATTTTTATAGTTTTCTCTTTTACCATAAACAGACATCTTGATGCTACAGACATGATCTGCCTCACAGCCTGTATCTTCGTGATCATTTACGGGTTGTTGATAGTAAATGATCATGATAAGAACAATGACAATTAAAGTCTTAGAATGGTAAGAAGTGATAATTTGGGACAATGGAATTTTAGGCTTCGAGTTAATTTGTGGTAAGACAGGTAATTTTTTTTTTATTTATTGTTCTGTCTGACGACAGGTCCATATGAACAGGATCCTTCCATCCTTTTCTCGGACTGGGACCTGTTCATATACGTTCTTGGCAGATGATCCAGAAGTGGTTTGCCGTTGCCTTCTTCTGTGTGTGAATGGAGTAATTGTTGGGATGTCACGGAGAAACTGTGGAAGCCCCCGGAGGAAAACTCCGTGTTGCCTAGACCACTGCCTTGCCCAACAAAAGTTATAAATTCGGGCACCGCCGGGAATCGAACCCGAAACCCCAGGATTACAAGGCCAGCGTTCTAACCGCTAGACCACCGTGGCGGTCATCCTGCCATTATAGGATTTAAAACTGTTTACCATACTTGGAATCTGAACGAGACATTCATAAATTCAGAGAGATTTTTACAAATTCTTTCGCCGTGAATACATTACCTGTGAAATGAAGATGGAAGTAGACGAATTGGGCCACCATTTTGTAATTTTCTTTTCAACTGCGAGTGAGACTGGGCCCTTGACGCTGCAGATGTAAAGGGTCTGTTGTACCAACCCTTGGTGATGACGATAGTTTAGTTTGAAACATTGAGTGCCAGGAGAAAACTATCTGAAGATGTGTCATTTTATCCACCCACGTGGACTACCCTAGGAAGTAATTTAGTACATTTTAACTCTGAAACACAGATGTAATTTATGTCTACCACCTAGATTAATATTGAGTAACTCTGCATTTTGTTCATAGAGTGTATTTATGTGATTCATATGTCGGACTTGAGGTTTTAACGGCGGTGAGTTCGGAGATGGCCGTCTTCTGGGTCGCCCTGATGATGGAGGCAGCAAGGATCTCCGAAGCACTTGTAAACTTCTACCAGACTACACGGCTCTACAACCCAGAAGACGGTCATCTTCGGGTTTCATGTGGTTTTCGAAATAAGCAGCTGTTATTTCCCTAAACAGAGTTAACCGATTCATCTTTCTAATTGGGAAGGCTTGGATGTATGAAGCAGGAGTTGTAACCATCAGCCGCAGTGTTCGATGAGGAGACAGGCAGTCGCTGGAAACGTGTCGTCCTAGACCTGCATCTACTTACGTATTCAAGAAATGAGGTCAGAGTGACCGTTTCTACGCCAAATAAGGAATGACGGCTGTACCACCTGCCCTGGGCCTTGACCTGAGTCTTGGTTCATTCTGACATAGCCTTGCTTCATGTAAGATATTTATAGAGGCCAAAGCACCGCTCGTAATGCTTGGCTGCTCAGGTGTGACGTTGGTTAATTTGCATTGAGACATGCACGGGTCACATTAATACGGATATCCCATAATTACGATGTCATAGGAGGAATCTTGTTGCTTGGCAGAATACGGGTGGGTATAAAAAGAAATTAAACGTTGCTGTAAATCGTATGTCTTCAGTGTCGAGTGTTGGAATTTATTTTATCTAGGACGAGCTGTTACGACATTAAATATTTCCGCCCATTTGGCCTCGTTGACGGGAATCTGTCGCTAGTCGTTGCGGGTTTTGTGGTTTCGTTCTTTTCCCCCCCCGTCCCCCCCCCCCCCCACAATGGCGTTCTCATAATTCACAATCACATAAAAGGGAGAAGACAAGAAAAGTGTATTCCAGTTTGGAGAATTGTTTTCAAAATAAGTTATTTTTAAATATGACTGTCTTCTAGTATGTTACGCCGTGTACTCTAGCACTAAGTACATCTGAAACGTCGGAAAATTTCTACCATACTAAACGACGCAGCTTTCCAGACTGTCATTTTCATACTCGGTTCCGCGAGAGCCTCCATTATTTCGATCCTGTAACCTGAAATTCATTGGTTGTGCAATCAAGAAGGCTTTGACGGGCTACGGCTTGGAAAATGGACAATGAGTGGTAGTGGAAGTTAGGTTAGGTTAGTTTGATTAGGTTAGGTTAGGTTAGGTGAATCGAATTGCTCCCTCAAGTGCCCCGGTATTCATTTTGTTGTCACAGGTAGTCAGCTAAAGGAATTGAGATGAGAGCATGTCTGGATTATACCGGCTGAGATCGTGTCCAGACTCATTAGAAGCTGTGTTATCAGGGAATTCTTTAATTGTAGAACATGTTCTGTAAAATATTTTGCGCAGCTGTGACAAGATCGGTTTTCTGGTTTTGTGTCATCAAGTACGAGGTGCGATCGGAAAGTTTCAAGACTGTGTCAATAGAGGGCGAACCGGATGTAGTACGAGCTTCTGTCTTTAGAGGGTGCGGCCTACATTCATAGTGAATCAGTGTGCCAGCCGGCATCATCGAATTAGCATTTGTTTCTTAGTTACGG